CACACTGGACCTTTAAGTACAGTCCTTAAATAAATGTACTCTAATTATGTTAGAGACAGAGAGAGAGGAGAGATGTGAGTCCAAAACTGAAAAAAGCCACAAAGTCAAAACACTGTCCATAGTTCAAATGGTGGTATAAAACATTCTGCAACGAGTGCTGCAGCCGCTACAGTCTACAGTCCAGCTGGGAGCTGACCTGCTGACATCAGGCGCCAAAGTTGACACTGAGGGTGTGTCTCCACCACAGCCTTTATCTAAAAATGGGGGGTGGGGTGGGGGGGTGACTAAGCATTCCGTCACTCGATATCATACTGAATCAGATGAAGTTAACAAGTGCCCCATGAAGTCACACCATGTGTTTGTGTGCGCACGGACAGTAGCTGTGGCAGAATGAGACACAGTATCGACCAGAATGTGACAAAAAACGATCAAAGTGGTGAAGGATAGTGGAGTGGGGGATTGTGGCACAGACACACCTGCTCTGGATTGTATTTGGAAAGGACGCCTTCTCCGTGAAACTCCTCCAACACATCCTTCAGCTTCTTTGTGGAGTCTGAGGAGGAAAAGGAGAAAAACAGAACTTTGTTATTACATGTACTGTAATGTGTTTGCTTTAATACAATGCTGAAAACCTTGCAACCACACAGGAGAGCAAAAAGGGCCCCATCATGAGTACATTTCCTCAAGCAGTTTTTATAATCATATCTCTGAGTGGAAATGTTCCTGTGGATAAAATGCCTTCTCAAAAACGGAATAAACATACTGCATCTCATTAACGGTTGCCCTGTTAAATACTAATCTGTACTAGTACGGGAAAGTGCTGCATCAGTTGAGCTGAGCCTGTGAGTCACCCTGTTAGTGAAAAGTAAAAAGGGGACATGTTGTCTTTCTCACTTTTAGATGCTAATCCCATATCCACGCACACACACGTCAAAGAGCCCCTGTCCAGAACACTAACCGTAATGACCTCCTCCCACGATCGTCTGTCAGACAATTACAGGGGACAAATGTACACGTGTGCATGAACAGATCGCTTCACTACCACCATCAGCGCACACACTTTATGCATGCACATGCTCCAGACCTGATTTCACCAATCATGTCAGCTCTCATAATCAACTATGGATGACACTTCATTATTTTTAGTGCTCTGCAGCTTTGCAGACTGTAAAGCTTTCCTATTTCCGTCCTGCATTGGCTGTCCACAAAGAAGGCGAACAAAGAGGGAGAGAGGATTGTACGATCTCAGGTAAGATAAGATGAGAAACGCTTGATTAGAGAACAAAAATGGACAGTCTACTGCATTAGCTGCATGCACAATTTGGTAGTGATCCACAAGGACATCACCGTCAGACGCACTTAAGTCACCAGCATTAGAAAAAATATTTCTTTACAGTAAACAAATAGTGAATTAATCAATTAAAGCTGCACTAGGTAATTTTTATAAAAATATTTTTAATCATATTTGCTGAAACTTCCACTATATCCTGACAGTTGTACATCAGACAGATAATCTGTGAAAAAAATCTGGTTCCTCCTAGTGCTCCTAATGTTATTTGCAAGAATCCACCAGGCCTGAACGAAAACAACCAATCAGAGCCAAGAAAGATAGAAAGATACTTTGGGTTGGTGGCTTGAAGA